CTAACGAGTGTCCTCAGGTACTCCGATAAAAAGCGGAGTTGAATATTGAACGTTTCTAGTTTTTTAGGACATTATCTTACAGAACTCGACGAGCTGAGTCCAACAGCGTAAGTTTCTAATGGGAAAAAATGTACAGAAATAGAGTTAGGCAGAAAAAAAAAACACCGAATGAAGAAGCTCGACTAGCCGTTTTTTGCTTTTTCGGAAGAGTTACGGCGGTATAAGTAGTTGATCACCGTGATGCCTCTAATTTGGCTCGAAGTCACCCTGTTTTTCTCGAACGCTAGACTGCAAAGAAACAATGATATCGAAGTGATCTTTTAAAACTTAAATTTTCACCTAGAATTTTCGTATGAAACCTTATCATTGGTGATACCAAAATGATCGCGGAGTCATGCTGTTTCCATATATGTTGGTAATTCTGACTTTGAAACACTTTTCACCAAGATCGTGGTCCAATTAGAGGGTTTACGACATGGCCATACTCCCAGTAAACCTTAGGTGACTGGAGACTCAATCGCAGTTTTCCCTGAGAATCATTTGGATTCAATAGGAAAATGTAGGAAATTCGTATATAATTAGATTCATAATGAGCATGGCTATCGACTGATCCAATTTTCAGACCATTTCGATAACTTCTACGGAAGTTATGGCAATGCGACGGTTTGCGACGGATTAATCCGTCGCAAACCGTCGATTTTGCAGAAATTAGGGGCGGTATTGTAGCATAGGATGGGTGACCCTTCGGATATTTCAATTTGCGGCAAATATCATCTTGTTCTGTGTGGAACAAACACATGATTACAACTGTCGCACGAGGAAAATATCGAAAACCTTGGCCGCCGCCACGTCGCAGTTCATTACGCACCACACCTGCGATGCAAGGCATTGCCAATGTACAAAGGGTGTTCGTGGTGAGGCTGCCTTCTTCTGTGAGGGGGAGAGTCGATAGTGTGCCTCGGTAGGAAGGGTAAGAACTCAGCGACGAATTGGTCCGTTTTGTCAGACTGCCGCATTTCATATGGTGCCTATCGCAGAAGTTTTTGCCGATATCCGAGATTGAGGAGAAGCTTGATAAGCTTAATAGTAGTCATGTGGGTGCATCTGAGAGATGTAGGCAACCCACTTGTGCTTACGTTCGGTTGTGCCTGCAGGCTTTTTAGTAGCCAACCAGCTGCCTACCTTCGAATGAAGTGTCTCAAGCTTCCAAACGCTGGTATCAACGGAATACATGGCAATCGACACCTACATTTAAAGGCGTATGGCACGATGATATGGTACTTGCTCAGGAATCTAACCATAAGCAGGATGATATAAAGTGAGGGAAAATGACACGAAGTGAAACTGTCAAAAGCCTTCGAAGAAAGGCCTCGGACGGGTTTCCCGTAGACATCGCGCCAATAACCGCTACGGTAGATACGCCTGCACTTACACATGTATAGTTTGTAACATTGCGATTTGTCGGGCACGAGCTCGCCTGCCTTGTTCTACCAATGGTGATCGAGCAATGATCGATGTAGGAAGGAATCAGCCACTGGTGGGAAGGCCGCAGGTGGGAACCGCTGATTGCGACCTTACAGGTCGCGGGATATAAACTGTATATACTCATATCCATGCAGCACCACGGCCACTTCATATCAATCCCTTCGCTTCATATTTTACTTAGCAAATGAAGCAATACGAGCATCAGGTACGGTCGTCCATTTGTGGGCGGGCGGGCGCGGGGGGCGTTTAGGTCGGTATGTTGCAGCCTGGGTCTTATAAAAGTACCTCCCTTGGAAAGGGCTCGAGTGTATATGAAATACAGGGCACATTATTGTGATGTGAAAATTGCGGTGTCAGACCCTCTCCCCCAAAGTAGGGTGCCGATACGACTCTCCCCTTCCGAGTCTAACTGTTGGCCCTAACCAGTTGGGTTAGATACACAACGATCTGCAAGCACTCGCGCCCGCACCTCGGTTCCAGCCAAAGTGGCGCTAGAGCATACTTGTTGAAGGGTAGGAAGCGCAGTGCTTTATCTGAAGGCAATAACTTTTTCAGGAGTGGGGTTCTTGGAAAGCGAAGGATGGCATGTTAAAGCGATGCTCTAAATCTTTTCCTCTTTGGGAAGTATTCGGATAAGTTTTAGATGAGTCAATAACAATTCGCATGCGAGTTTTATGTTTTGGACGAGAAAATTTTCTTTCAGACGCAATCTTTTGCAAAACTGAAAACATTTTTGCAAAGGGCAATATTTCTTCCTTCCGTGAAGCGTTTGAGTTTCCCTGAAGACCCGCTTATTAAAAATATATTTTAGATTGTTTTGATGGGCGAAATCCTCTGCCGTTCGAAAGCTCGACTCTTTCTGTGAAGTTGTAAGAACACTAGTGTTCTTACAACTTCACAGAAAGAGCCGAAAAGCTTGACGTCCCTTCAAAACAAACACTCTGTTGAACTTAATGGGAGAATAATTTGATTAGCACCGATCGACTTTGTCTGAGTGCGCACCGTGCATTACGTTCCCAAGCAGAAGTAGGGGAAAGGTGCACCTTCTAATGATGAGTGTTCCTCGTCCATGGAAGCAGACATTTTCATAGGGCCCGCCAAGGGCGATACATATGGTGCGATACAGTGCGCTAGACAAAGTGGACACTCAAATTTTCCTTTTGCGAAGTTGCCTTTGGATTTTGCTGTCTGAGACCAACTGTTAGATTCCTCATAAGCGAAAGTATAGAATTACACTACTTCTGAATACAGTGTGAACTGCTGTACAATTATTTATTGTTTTGAAAAAATTTCTTAATAACAAAAGTATGTGGACACCTGAGAAAGTTCAAAGTTTGACTCCAAATCTGCAACCCATATCTATCGTCTCTGCTCCCCATTAATCTGTACTCATGCCTCGTCGTGGCAGTACTCTCTCCGAAGACGAACAATCGCAGATTCGAGCTCTCAGTGCTGCTGGACACTCGAATAGAGAAAAATTGCAAGACAGCTCGGACGTTCGGCGACGTGCGTTGGTAAATACCTCCAGAATCCTGATGGCTACCATTCAGCACATATTTCGGGGCGTCCTCGATCTTTGTCCGCAAAAGACATCAGACGAATAGCGCGTGTCGCCTCAAACTCCCCCCTTTTCTGTGAGGAACAATCCATGGTACAAGTGAGAGTCTACCTGGTCTGTCAACATATGACAGTATGGCGCTTATTTGATCAAGAGGCATATCCACGGAGGAGACCATGAGAAAGCTTCCTCGCCTTGACGGCCATACACAAGGTGGCGAGACCTGGAACTCGGCTGTGCGCAAACATGGGCGACGTCAGGCGCGACGAAGGTTGGAAGTTTTTTGAAAATTTTATTAAAATCAGAGACAAGATCTCATGCTGCTTCTATTCTTAGATTATCTTCATCGATGATAAACCAAAGTTCAATCCTCGCACGGTCCAGCATGATAGCGGCACTACTGGGGGACTTCGTCGCGATCCGTTGGTGTTCTCGAGGCGGAATTTCGGAGGCGGCTCTTTGATGGTGTGGGGTGGTTTTGGAATCAGCGGAAAGTTGGAGCTCGCCTTCCCATCATGCCGTATGAACAGTCAGGAATATCAAGGAGTGCTCGAATCCAACCTCTTGCCTTTTCTGAGCTGGGCCACGACGCGCAGGACACTGCGTCCAGGCAGCGACACGCCGCGGGCATTTGTTCAAATTCCACTATAAAAATGCTCCAACGCAATCGGGTAGTCAAATGCTGGGAGCTGGCCGGCGATGTCTCTGATGCGAAACCCAATCGAATAACCTGTGGGAATGTATGCTTCGACGAATGTTACGAATGAACAATCGGCAGTTACAACGCCGGTGCGAGGCCTCCAAGGCGAGGCGTGGGGTGGGGACGGGGTTATGGCTGCGATGGGACGGAATCCGACGAAGATCCCACTCACAGAATCGTTGTTCAGAGCATGCCAGACAGAATGTTCGAAGTAAAACGCGGGAGGGAGCACCAAGTTTTAATTTCCATGATACTTTTGTTTTTTGTTAAGTGTCCACATACTTTTGTTATTAAGAAATTTTTTCAAAACAATAAATCATTGTTCAATAGTTCACAATATGCTCAGAGGTAACGCATTCCTATACTTTCGCTTATGAGGAATTTAACAGTGATGGTCCCAGATCGCAATATCCAAAGGCAATTTCGCAAAATCAAAATTTGAGGTGTCACCATACTGGTGATTACGCACTGTACAAGACCATTACCTCGTCATCCGCAGCTACTTGATTAGGGCGGTCAAGGTCAACGGCGGCGCAGCGCGTGCCAGGAACCATTTGCTTTTTCCAAGTACTATATTTAGTCCATTTGTATCCAACTTTCCTGTTTGACTACTTTTCACAGATTTAGCAGCCCTTTATCTTCACAAGTGTGGCAAAATGCACTAGAATTAGCCTGGATACAAGTAAACTTGCTTCCTGGCACGCGGCTGCGGCCCGTTGACGACCGCCCTAATCAACTGCCCAGATGACGAGGTTACATACGTAAGAATTTATGCTGACCATTGGTACTGCTAATTAGTTTAATATTTCGTTGTACTCTACATCAATATTTATATTAATTATTCTTGAATTCTTGTAGTCTTCCTCATGCAGGCTCGCCGTAGCGCTGGTTACGCTCCGCAAAAATGATTAAATAAATCAAAGTACTGAATGACTTTGAAGTAATTTTCAACTTTAGAACGAATACGGAGAATTTCTTAAAACTCAGTCTTTTTATTTAGTCTTATTAGTGACACTTTTGCGCTGTTTGGTGCTCACGAACCCTCAGTTTGCGCCACTGCCCACCCCTCCCCCCCTCCCACATGGGTTCGCACCTGGGAGTCGCACCCTGGGAATCTTTTTTATTACTGCAGTGTGTCAAAAATTGTTTTGGTAGACGTATGCCATTTGCACTTTGTGGGCTATAAATTTGTTTTTGAGAGCCACAAACTAGACGATGGCGTTGTAATGCTGGAGGTATTTATAAGGTAAGATTCAGCTGCTTTCTGTCTGTGAAGATGCGGTCGATATTGGCGTATTTGTGTGTTATTCGTAAGTACTCATTTTCTACCTCCACATTTTGAGAACCCTTGCAGTATATTTTCAGAACTGGCTTCCTCGTTGTCGTCGGACTCTCTCATAGGTGTTTTGCCACCAGTAATTCGAGATTCACCTGCGATGCAGGTGGGAGTACGAGAGACCGAACGTCTCATTGGAGTCCGAAACATGAAAGGCTAGTCTATAAATGTTTTTATCAGCAGAATCATGCCGTAATAATGAAAACAATCCCTTGCAGACGGAAAAGGACGTGCTTCCTCTGATGAGTTTGTTGGGCTTCTGAGCGCATTCAAAAAAATGTCAGGAGGTGGACTGCAAACGGTAGGTTCTCAAAATAATCTGTTGATTTGGGTTCCACCACTGCGCTTGTCTTCTCCAGTAACCAGTTATGGACTTCCTGTTGATGCAACATCTAAATTTGGATCTAAATTTGGATGCCCTAGTAAATATGATTTATGGAGACTGTTGAGCCTAAAGAGCAAATAGTAATACTTGCCTGCTGATCTCTCATCAGTGTTCGCCATCTTTGGAGTTGTGAAAGCAGTACTGAGGCGTGCCCCGCGTTCAAAAAATGGTGGGTTGTGCGGCTCAGGTACTAATGACAAGATGGCAAACATAGAGGAGTGAAGGAAGAACAGAAAAAAACCTGCTAATAATGCCTCAATAGGATCTCATGCTGAACCCAACAGAGGCGTGTTTGGACGAGTTTCCTTTTGTTGGTATCAGCTCTGTTCTCTTATCTCCTCACTCTTACCATTCGAAACGGAAAAGCGGAACAATCGCATCACCAGAAGCTTTTAGAAATAAAAGTTGGGCACTGCCATGGCCATGGGGCGGGTAACTTCGACGTGATCGAAATGTAAGGTATATAGGCATTTAAAAACATATGGCACGATCATTTGATACTCGCTCTAAAATGCTAGCAGGGTGCTATATAGTGGGGAAAATGGCGAAAAAACGAAGTGAAACGGTCAAAAACCTGCGAAGAAAAGCCTTCGTTCTTCATGCCTCAGAGAGTAATTTCGGACGAGTCTCCCGATGTTCAGTTTCAGCAAAATTCAAGCACTTCAAGAACATATAGTAGTAGAGTAAGGTTCGGGGTAGAGGTCTAGGGACTGTAAAACTCTGAGCATACTACGTTTATCGAACTCTTTTGTTCCCAGCATTGCCATTGTGACATCGAAGTCATGGTCAGGTGATAAAGGTGATACAACAAAAATTTACACAAACTCTGCCTGCTCATCTCAAAGACAAGTGTCACGATAAATCCCGAGACGGGTAGGATGAATACTCCTGGCAGGACGGGATTCCGCGCTCCTGAGCAGGCGCTGCGTAGCAGCTTTCCCAATGAAGGTACCCTTTCAGAGCCCTATCGAGCTGCAACATACCGACCCCCTTGTGGGCGTACGGGTCGGTATGGTGAAGTTGTCGGAATAGGTTTCTAGTGGTGTGGAATTATTTTCGAAGGTGAAAATGAATTGTTTTCGAAGATGGAACTCGAGGAAGATACTGTAGTTCAATAAATGAAGCACTTTCAGCCACGTCGAACTCGCAAAATCTCCCAAACGCAGGAATATTGCAGCAACAACAGAGATTACTATCTTTCTTACTGCATGGGCATGCTGGTAGATCGTGACGAAGCAACACGAGACTTTTTATTTCGTTTTTGTCCGTGGTACGAGAACAAATGCCTCCACAATGACCGGTAGTCCCTGAATTGTTCACATGTGATTTTGATCGGCTAGGAGATCCTTTCATCCTCCTGTTAGTTTCTTTTTTTGGAAGCCGACATCTCTAGATCATCACTAACGGAACAACATACAGTTCATTTTCC